TCCAATTGGTTCTTCAAGCCTCATTATTGTGTTCTTCGCGAGGAAGCACGTGCGAACAGTCGTTGTTTGCCTCGTAAACGCTTCTGCCGGCGTCACTGGCCTCGGGCAAGTCCCATTAGAACGCGCTGACCGGCATTCCAAGATGGACATCTCCAACTGTCCCTTCGGCACACCAGTTTATTGTTTAAGGGTCGTGCCGGAGTACAATTTAAGCCTTACTGGATAACTGACAATAATCGCCATACGATCTGTGATCCCCTTGCGGATAATCGATTTCGTATTTCACTGCCCAGCTCAATTTGAAAGTATTACTGCTGCACGATCTCTGGCTACCCGTTTGTCTGATCCGAAAAGCCGCCCATTTCACAGTTGTCCTTTCCGTCATCCGTGGACGTTCGCAGGTGGGGTTTCCAATGGGCTCCATATCCTCTGCACTCTTCTCACCCCGGGCACGAATAACAGTTCGTATACAGTTCACGTATACTAACCCTTATAGCCAATGTGTTTTTGCAACTTTGAAAATGCCCACGAAAGTTACGCGCCCGGTCTGTCCAGAAGCATGCATGCAACTTTGCCACATATTCAACAAACGATTTTTTATAACCCAACAAGCTGAAAAAACATTCTGCTTAAGAGTACAAAACAACGCCTGATAGTCATATACACAAATGGCGGGAAGACTGTCGCCTCGATGAACGAGTGCATTTCCCGACTGCCACTCATTGCGTGCAACTGATAGAGTCAGTGAGTATAACTTATACGTCACGCTTCTAACGTCCAGACTGCGTTCGTGCCGAGAAATACTTAGAAAAGCCACCCTGCCTTAGGAGCTCGGTAGCTATAGATTTTACTATAGTGAGCCAGTCAACGGCGTTTTCAAGATTGCCTCGGACCACATTACCTTGTTAGAAAGACTTGACGTCCATCTGAGCTTCGTAGGAATGGATTCCTAAACTGAAATTCCGTCTCAGTTGCTTTGCCGCTTTAGGCAACACCGGGTGCAAGCCCAAAAACTCTAATGGTCAATGGTGCGCTCTGCGCCAAGACTTGAAAGCTCAATTTTTAGAGCACTGCTGTGTCAGAAGGCACAACAACGACCGATCAAAACCTTCTTTGCCAGCATATTATCCTAAGTGAATTTAACCTCACCTGTTTACGACACTAAAAACTACTATTTAGGGACAAGTCAGCCGGACGGTCCAACGAAGACGATTCACCAAATTGTCCTAGCAAGCGTAATGCTATGTCGAATGTCGTGTGGTCGACAAGATAAAGATTCCCAATCAAAAGTCAGGGAAGACGGTTTGAGTTGGACAACCTTTGCTGCCTGAGAAAGTGCGTACACAAGGGCTCTGTAGGCAGTTGCCGCAAGCGCGCTCCAAGCAAGCTGTTGTCTGTGTCCGCCTTCGAGGTGTTTTGTGCGCCCTTCGTTGTCTCCACGTCGCCAGCCAATCAGAGTGGGGACAGCGTTGATTGGCTTCGAGCACGCGCGCGTCCCAGCAGCGTATCCACACGGAGTGTGAGGCGGACAGGACGGCAGCGTGACAAAGGCGGAGGGCGAGGAGACGCGAACTTCTACAGTACCCCCCGGCTAGACCGAAGGCGGAGCGTAGCGATGCCGAAGGAACTGTTGATATCTAAAAAACATGAGTGACCAAACGGTCAGGAAAGTGAACATGGCGTCCGCTACGTGTGATATATACAGGGGGCACAGGAGTAGAGTGAGTATGGCTCGCGGTTACAGTGTTGTTGGTTGATGAAGGAGTAGTTGCAGTTGTGGGTTGCAGACATGGGGGCAAAGGAAGTATAAGGGACGGAGGGATAGAGGGCAAGGGAATTAACGACATCCCGAACCATCTTATTAAACAGTTAAGAAATTTTCCTCCTTTGATTAGTAAACACTTTTCACTCTTTCTCGAAAGTGGTTTTTTCCTGACTATTGGAAAACTTCTATTATTATTTGGGGCGCCGCGAAATTTTGAAATAATTTCATGCAAGACATGTAATAAACAATTACCGACACTTGACCTGTGTGCTGTCTCTCGGTCTCCCAGCACGAATGAAGTCGCCGATATGAAATTACTTTGTGCCCTGGGATTGTTATATAAGCAGGATAACCTGCTACTTCTGTGTGACCTAAATGTTCCAGGGGTACACTGGAAAATTCCCTTAACAAACGTCCCGTCCACGTCATTTGACCACAAGCTACTACAACTCTTCCTGAATTGATACTTCATTCGACACATAAAATTCGGAACAAGACTGAGAGAAGGGAAACGATCTAACTGTTTAGATCTCGTTTTCTGAAAAGAAGCAGAAGTTATGAGAGAAGTGAATCTACGATTTCCAATCGGTGTGCGTGTGCTCTCTCCTGTCGAACCAACAAATAAAAATCAAGAGACGCAGAAATATTTAGAAGGGTAGTCTTCACGCAGTGAGACGTAGTTATTTGCAAATGCTCGGTAAGCCGTCGTTTCTAAAGATTGTCTGTCCAGTTTCCTATGTCGTGGGATAGGAGGAATTCCTACTTGGTTGTCCGGTTGTTCAGTCACGTGAGGTGTTTTTCGCCGATTTGCATTAGCCGACGTTGGGAGGATGCAATGGCACATTTAATAGTAGCGCGATAGCCGATAGCTTGGAATGAGTGCACTCGCGGGTACAAAACCGAGGCCATAAAGGGGGGAGGGGGGGAACGAGCGGGGAATAGGAAGCGCCGTTGCGTATTTTTTACAATGGTGTGGCCATACCTGGCTGTCGTGACGAATGACACGCATTAGGTACGCCTGAGAATATTATTTGGCTTCCTCATAGCCTCCCCTCGCCACGTCGGCAAGGCTTGGCCAGCCGAGACTGGAGATGGCAGGGTTGTTCCAAAGGTAAATAATAAAATTTCTGCGACATTTTATCTCCACTAAAATCGGGGTTTTGTGGTTGTCTCTGACGTCTGAGACAATTGTTCACAAAGCTGATGGGATATCCATTGAAACTGAATAACTGATTTTAGCACATCAGTGCGTTCTCAAGTAGACCATAATTGCTGAAGTGATAGAAGATCTAGTGGATAAGGTCCCAGCTAGAGCTTGTTTATGGGCTTCAGGGTGGTTGCTTTCATTTTTAGGGATAATTTCATGTCGGATTCTTTTCGACGGACGTGTCAGTCATCACTTGTTATGTTCATACTGTTGGGAGCACCGACACTCCCAAAAACAAGAGCCAGCCAATCACGGGAGGCCACGTGCGTTTTCTCTACTGCGCTGTCATCTTTCTCGTGGCGCCTCTCCATTGGCTTTTCCTCTCGGGCCTGATCGATCAGCATATTCGAATTATCGACCAGTTCGTCTCGAATGTTCTTCCCGAAGAGCATTGGGCCGAACGCCGGCGAAGCATCGTAGGGCGTTATAAATACGCGTTACTTCCAGTTAATTTTGACTTGCAATTTCCTAATACACAGTTTCGTGGCCGGTCGCGTTCTGCTTCTCTGCCGCGTTGGTATTGGGGACAAGGGTCGAGTGCGCATACGCTCCACAGGATTTCACGTACCAGGCGGGTCATAACGAATTGGCGACGCAGTTTTTCAACTACAATGGCTGACGAGTACGCAGACTTGAAGCTGATGTTGCAGCAGCAGCTGAAGCTAATGGAAGCACTTACCGTTAAGCTGTCCAACTCGTCCATGGGTCATTCAAGTGCGGCTGGTGGTTCGCAATCTGTTGATCACATTGCCGGCAGCATCACGGAATTCTTGTATGACCCGCAGGCCCATATCACCTTTGAGTCCTGGTACAAACGATACGATGACTTGTTCTCTGTCGATCTGGCTGCCCAGGACGATGCATGGAAGGTTCGACTCCTACTTCGCAAACTGGGTCCGGCTGAAGACGAGCGTTATGCAAACTTCATCCTCCCCAAGAATCCCCGAGAAGTCGCTTTCACGGACACGGTTAAGACGTTGTCGCGGATTTTTGGTGATCAATCATCCCTTTTCAACACTCGATTTCAGTGCCTGCAGCTGTGCAAACGCGATTCCAATGATTTCATCACGTATGCGGGCATTGTCAATCGTGAGTGTGGGCGTTTTCAACTCGGTTCTCTCACTGAAGACCAGTTTAAATGCCTTATATTTATCTGCGGCCTCCAGTCCCCCAAGGATGCTGATATCCGGACACGTCTCCTGTCCAAAGTGCAGCAGAGCAACTCTATCACACTCCAAGAGCTGGCAGCAGAGTGCCAAACGCTGATCAATCTCAGGCACGACTCTGCAATGATTAAGAATCCTGCCTCATCTTTCTTAGTCCATTCGGTCACATCGACCAAATCGCGGCCCAAGCAAGTGTCCAAGGCGAGATCTCCGCCATCCCCTTGTCGGCACTGTGGCGCATGGCATTTCCACCGGGATCGCACTTTCCGCCAGCATCGCTGCCAAAGCTGTAATCAGGTGGGACACCGTGATGGGTTTTGCAAATCAGTACCAACTTCTGGAGGCAAGCCGACCCCCGCCATTCCTAATTCCAGGCATCGTTTCCGGCCAAAACGCAAGTCCAAACTCCAGTCCGTTGGTAATTCTCTGAGTCTCTTGGCCACTTTCCAGCTCAATGCGTCTGGTCGTAGAAAATTTGTTTATGTCTTGCTCAATGGCCATGCAGTTCGCCTACAGCTGGACGCTGCCTCAGATATCACCATCATCTCTGAGAGACTCTGGCAGTCCCTTGGCAGCCCCACGATCCAGCAGACTTCCCAGTCCGCCACAAGCGCGTGCGGTGGTCTCGTACAGCAAATTGGGCAACTGCAATGCTGTGTGTCGTTCCGCGGTACCAGCATCACCGCGATCTGCTACATCACCAAGTCTGACCTCAACCTACTTGGTCTTGACTGGATTGAACAACTTGGGTTGGCCGATATGCCGCTCCGCGTTGTTTGTAGTCAGGTGCAGATTCCCGCTGTGCTTGCAGACCAAGCCAAGGACATTCTCCAACTGTTTGCTCCAGTGTTCCAAGACGGTCTGGGTCGTTGCACATACACTCAAGCCGTGCTACACCTGTCTCCTGGAAGTCAACCAGTCTTCCGTCCAAAGCGACCAGTCCCATATGCAGCTCTACCACTTGTCGAGGCTGAACTGAAGCGTCTAGAGGAATTGGGAGTTCTGGTTCCTGTATCCTACTCCGCCTGGGCCGCTCCAATCGTTGTGGTGAAGAAGCCCAATGGCTCGATTCGCCATACTTCCTCCGTTTCCCACACCCGCCGTCCACAATCTCCAAGTAGCGTCTGCTGGTATCACCAACAATTTGGAGGAGCAGCTCGACGATGTCTTCAGCCATGCTCTTTCAAGGCATCTCTAACGTCCTCAGGGAGACGATCCCACTCGCCACCAGAGGCCACTGCTGCTGCAAGCGTTGCTAATCTTCACACGCCGTTTGTTTCTCTGGGACCGTATCGCTGGCGCCAAATTCCTTGTCGACTCTGGTGCCGAGGTTAGCGTGGTTCCATCAACTCCGGCTGAACGTAAAACCCGCAGCTCTTTCTGTCTAACAGCTGCCAACAACTCCAGCATCCCCACATTTGGACAGCGCTCCATCACACTCGATTTGGGCCTTCGTCGGATTTTCCGATGGGTTTTCATTATTGCCGACGTTTCCGTCGCCCTCATAGGCGCTGATTTCCTAGCTCAATTCAATCTACTAGTTGATTTGAAGAATCGCCGACTCGTCGACTGCAGCACCAACCTTCATGCCCGTTGTCAATCCGATGTGAACCCCTGCGTCAGCGGCCTGTCAGTGCTTATCGCGGTCATCGACCGACAAAAGGGAGCCGGAGAAAAGGGGGACTGGAGCAGCTGCTACAACTTCTCCACCGGTCTCAATGCCGCAGTGACTCCGAACTGCTATCCACTACCGGTTCCGACTGATCTTTTCACCCTGCTGAATGGTGGCACTTGCTTTGCCAAGTTGGATCTCGCTGACGCGTATCTGCAGATCGAGGTCGCCCCAGAGTCGCGCGAAATGTTGACCATAAATACCCACCGCGGTCTGTTCCAATAAACCAGGCTGCCCTTTGGTGTCAAGATCGCCCCGGCCCTATTTCAACAAACGATGAACGCAATGCTCTCCGGCATCCCTGGCACAGCTGGGTACCTGGACGACATCATCATCGTGGGTCGCTCCCCTGCCGAGCTGCAAGACCGAGTGTGCGCAGTACTCGAACGCGTGCAGGAATATGGCTTCCGCCTACGAGCCAACAAGTGCCAATTCTTCCTCGACTTCATCAAGTACCTTGGATTCGTTTTTGACGTCACTGGTCGCCATCCAGATCCTGAAAACATTCGGGCCATCCAACGGATGTCGGTACCCAAGAATGTATCGCAACTTCGTTCGTTCCTTGGCCTGATCAGTTACTATAGCGCCTTCCTATCATCGCTGCATGACGTACGGGCCCCGCTCAACCTTCTGTTGCAGAAGGATGCTCCTTGGTGCTGGTCCCCCGACTGTGAAAAGGCCTTCGCCCAGCTAAAGTCGATGCTGAGTTCAGATCTGCTGCTCACGCACTACGACCCGACGCTGCCGATCGTTGTTGCTGCAGATGCTTCCAACCACGGAGTTGGTGCCGTTATCTCACATCCTTTTCCTGATGGGTCTGAAAAGGCGGTCATGCATGTATCTCGCACGCTAACCCCTGCGGAGAAGAACTATGGGCAAATAGAGAAAGAAGCTCTAGCCCTCGTGTTTGCCGTCAAGAAATTTCACCAACTGTTGTACGGTCGCCACTTCACGTTGTTGACGGATCACAAACCATTGCTGTCAATCTTCGGTTCGAAGAAGGGCATTCCCGTCTACTCAGCCAGCCGACTTCAGCGATGGGCAACCATCCTTCTTGGCTACGATCTCGACATTCGCTACTGTCTTACTACAGACTTTGGTCAGGCTGACGCCCTTTCTCGCCTCATCAGCAATCAGCAGGAACCGGAGGAAGATACCGTGATTGCCGCTATTTTGATTGAGGACGATGTGCGCCGTCAGTTATCAGACGCCATACGAGGCATCCCTGTCACTGCCGCGGACATCCGGCATGCTACTGAACAGGATCCTGTCCTCCGTCAGGCCATTACCTACGTGCAGACCTGCTGGCCCACCACTGCTCTCGCTGGTGATCTTCGTCAGCTCTTCCTCCGACGAGCATCGTTATCTGTGGTTGACTCCTGCCTCATGTTTGCGGACCGTGTGGTGATCCCATCTCTCCTCCGACCCACTGTACTACGCCAGTTCCATGCGGCTCATCCTGGTGCCAGCCGAATGAAGTCAATTGCTCGCAGTTTTGTTTACTGGCCGGGTATCGACGGCGACATCGACGACCTGGTTCGACGCTGTTCTCGATGTCAGCAAGCTGTCAAGATGCCGCCTCGTCAACCGCCAGTACCCTGGGAACCATCAGAGAGGCCTTGGTCACGCGTGCATATCGACTATGCTGGCCCACTTAACGGAGTCTCCTATCTAATCTTGGTTGACGCCTACTCGAAGTGGCCCGAGATTGCTCCGCTGAATCCAGCAACCGCATCTGCTACTATCGCCTTCCTACGACGCATCTTCAGCCAGCATGGCTTACCAGAAGTCCTGGTTTCAGATAATGGCTCTCAGTTTATCCCGTCGACGTTTGAAGATTTCTGCCACCAGCACAACATCCAGCATCTTCGCTCCCCGCCCTACCATCGTCAGTCTAACGGTCAGGCGGAGCGTTTTGTCGACACTTTTAAGAGAGCCCTTTTGAAAGCTCGTGGGGAGGGACCACGGACGAGATAGTCCAGGCGTTCCTGTTTTCCTACAGGACAACACCGAACCCGGCGTCCCCTGGTGGCGTTTCTCCTGCCGAAGCGTTGATGGGCCTAAAACTGCGGACAACATTTCATGCGCTCGTCCCTACCGGTGCGCAGCCCGCGCAGACTTCTCCAGTCTCTCGCAGCATGCTCTCCATCGGAACACCTGTCTTCGTCCGTGATTATCGAGGGGGTTCCCAGACTGGATTGAAGCAACCGTAGTAGCGCACAGAGGCAGTATGTTGTTTGACGTCGACGTTGGTGATGACATCTGGGTTCGCCACTACAACCAGATCCGACAGCGACACTGCAGTAACACAACTGGGCTCGAGTCGGCGCCGTCATTCTCCCTTGACATCCTACTGGATACCTTCGCCATTCAGGCAGATCAGTCGGTTCCCGAACCCACTTCTGCGCCCCCTTCGGATATACCATCTTCGGTATCAGTTACCGCTCCCGTATCTCCAGGCATTAAACCACGACTAAGACGCCGGACCAACCGCGTGCGCCGATCAACACGGCTGATGCAGGTCAATCCACGCCAGAAGCGGTACTGACCTACTTGGAGGGGGGGGGGGTGCCTGATCGATCAGCATATTCGAATTATCGACCGGCTCGTCTCGAATGTTCTTCCCGAAGAGCATTGGGCCGAACGCCGGCGAAGCATCGTAGGGCGTTATAAATACGCGTTACTTCCAGTTAATTTTGACTTGCAATTTCCTAATACACAGTTTCGTGGCCGGTCGCGTTCTGCTTCTCTGCCGCGTTGGTATTGGGGACAAGGGTCGAGTGCGCATACGCTCCACAGGATTTCACGTACCAGGCGGGTCATAACACATACACATGTATAAGACAGGAAATGTCTCCCTTTTCCGCTTTGTATGCAGATGGTGTAGCTGGAAATTTCGCACAACTTTATCTTCTAGTTATTATATGACTAGTTCTGCCAGTAGCCCCGATATCGGCAAGCTCAGTGGGCACTTTTAACCATTTGATGATGCTTGTCATTTCTAACACGCAAGCATTTCTAGGGCGCATAGCATTGGAAAATGTGATTAGATTTCGATCATAACTATGTACCCAGTAAATTCTTAATAGCCTACCTGTGTCGCTATTCCCTATTCTCAGCGTCCATAGAGACCACTGCTACCAAATATACTGTAACCGTATATTTATAGGGACTTTCAGAAACAAGCAAGAATGCTTTAGGATACCTGTGTTGTTATATGATGAAGGCGCGTCCACTCTAATGACGGAAAAGCCCGTAGAGAGAACCTAACAAATACCTTGATAAAATAAGTAAAAATAAGGAGAAAGATCACACCATACCCATTTCTCGGAGAATAGTGGCAGTAAGGTAGAATATTAGTGAAAGACTTCCCTCATACTCATCGAACACATTGCTCAGATTTCCTCATAAATTATGACGCCATTACCCAAGTTTTAATCTCCTGTCAGTTTTATTACAGACCACATTGTGACTGAGACGATGTCGGTCGCATTGAAAGTGTTTCTAGAGATTAGCTGTTTGCGTTCAGCCTTTCGACCGCCAAACCAGCAGTGAAGGATAGCCAGTCCAGTATAACAGACTTTCTAGATGTTCTCATATCATTTCATACCATTTCATATTCATGCCTTTGCACGTAGTGCAGCTCTTAATGTTTCCGCGTATGCGGAAAAGACGAAAAACATCCTACTGCAACTTTATTTAGCTATATTTTGCTGTCCAGCTTCGACTTTATTTCTATTGTTTTGATGCATTTTTTCATTGCCAATGTTCTTAAAAAAACTTCTTAATTTCTCTATCGGCCTTCTTGGGTTTCTTGTGCCATTATCAACGATGACTATACATTGAGCCCCAAGGCAAGAGGAGACGAGGTCCCTCAATCCGACCGATTAATGCACTTCCAGCATAGTAAGCATTCCCGATCGCAGCCGAGAGGACAAGAAGCCCGTGGCTCAATAAGTTAAGCATTGGATCCAGTAACAGTAGAATGCTAAAGAACTTGAAATCGAAGACTGAGTTCCGAAAACCTCGGGTTGGGTCAGATTGGCTGATGGCGGTCATGGAGCCAGAAGTGACTATCAGGGCCTCCCGTTAAATTTTCCGGTACTCTCTGCTGAAAACACCAATTTCCGCTGTACGCTTGACTGCGAGAGCTGTATCTTTGGCCTCAATGCACAGGGGGACGAACAAATCCAGTAATTCGACCGGTGAACGAAATTCCAACAGATTGAAAATTGCTACTGTTGTGCTGTGCTTAAAACACTCTCACATCCAGGGAAATCGCACCCTGTTTTCCAAGAATCAATTGGTTTGTTGGTGGAGCCATGGATACAGCATTTCATATTTGTGGTTTTTACGATCGAGCCGCTCAAAACCTTGAACTATCAACGTTGTTTAAGTTGACTGGCCGTCCTCACACTTTTGCTTTCGCAGGTGAGCGCCGCCATCTCGCTTCTGGTGTTCGTTGAGCGATGACGCTTGCGTTCCGCCCCTTTCTTTTCTACTTTTACATTTTATCTATTGCAAGTTCGGAACACTACGTAATATCTATTCTGTCCGCGAAAAATTTAAATGGAACCACCAATCTTAGAAGCTAGGATTGGGTTCGTACCGCAAACCAGGACTCCAACGCACATCTTCCCTCCGATGGTCTTTTATTGTCCGATATATAATAGGTGGAGGTTGCCTGCTAAACAGTATTTCTGACACCACTGGTGGCCTGTGTCGACTTTTTTGCTCAGTCGCCTTACGGGCGCATGAAAGCCATTCCCACCCGTTATCCATAGGATGTGGGGACCGCTCTGGGGGCGGTCCAAGACACTTGTCACATTTACGGCTAGAGGCCGAATCATCATTCAGGGTAGGTTGCGTCGGGCTTGGTTCATCCCACTTGTTGCCCCCGTGACCCCTGGAGCCCCAGCGTCGAGTGCCGCGAGTGGAGTAGGTGTAGGGGCCAAGTCCATAAACGAGCCGTAGTTCCTGGTCCCCTCAGAAGGGGGCACTCGTTGTTTACCGTCTTGGCGGTTTGTCGCAGCCTGACGGGCAAAGCACTGCTGCGTACGATGCTGGTTTTGCGGAACCTAAGAGTCATTTCGAGTTTACACTTTCACACCTTTATACTAGACGACAGGGCTGTATTTCACTTGATTCGCGTAGACAATAATGCACCTAAGTTACCCGTCCTTGTTTTTTTATAGTTAGGGAACCTTGGCATAGGCGTGTATGTT